TAGATAGATAGATATAGAGAGATAGATAGATAGATAGATAGATAGATAGATAGATAGATAGATAGATAGATAGATAGATAGATAGATAGATAGACATCCTAGTGATTCAATTTCTGTAGAGATTCTGTTGGTTGATTTATCTAGAGAACCCTCGCTAATACAGTGTTCGACCAGTATAATTCTTCCTGTCTTTTTTTCATTGTTCCTTATCTCCAATCAGCTTCCACATGCTAGAGGATGCCTCTAAACTCCCTTCATCCTCTTCCCAACCCACCCATCTCAGTTCATGGTTTCTCTCAGCAGCTTTCTAGAAGGTCTTTCTTCTATTGCACACAACTCTAAAAGCTTCCAGGTCCCATTACAAGCCAGGCTATCCACAACTGTCAGATGTCTTACCTGACAAGTTTCCATGCACAAACATCTCATAACTAGCTACTCAAGGCACTTTTTGATACATACCAAACCATCATACAGATTCATTCTATTACCACATTTATTTTATGTTCCAAGTTAGAAAATGATCTTTCCATTTCCATTTGGAAGTTTGTCTTTTTGGCACAAAATGGCCTACTGGGCAAAGAACTGCCCTTGGCTTGATGGCTGACAGTACAAATGCATTGTTGTCCTTTCTGGACAAGCGGGATACAAGGAAAGCGACCACTGTACTCTGCCAAGACAGGGTACGATGGTCTCTCAGAATTCCTGCTTCTAAAAATGGTCTGTCAGATACTCTAGGCTTGTAGCCAATTTAAATGCACCAACAATGCTGAAAAACATTAGGTGACTGTCCAGGCTGCCAGTTGTTTTGGTCTACTTTTGCAAGATTCCCGAAAGTTGCTTGCATCCATCTACCATTTTTCAGGTACCATTATGTTCCTTCTCAGGTCTTTGATGTGGTTGAAAACTATATAGTTGTAATTTCCTCAGTTATGATAAAAGATAAGTTAGATATAAAACCTTAAATTCACAAATATAAGATAGATAGGACATCTTCTTTAATATTGTAACTGTAATTCTTGCTCGATAATTGTTTTGTTATATGTAATTTTACCATGTAAAAGTTAAAACCTTACTTTTTAAAAAAAGAAAAAAAAAGGGGAAGTGCTGTGGATATTGCTCTATATAAATAAAACACTGATGGCCAGTGACCAGGCAAGAAATAGGTTGCCAGGCAGGAAGTAGGTGGGACAAGGAGAGAGGAGAATTCTGGAAAGCGGAAGGCTGAGGAGACACTGCAGCCACCGCCAGGAGAAGCAGCATGTGAAGACGCCGGTAAGCCACCAGCCATGTGGCAAGGTATAGATTTATAAAAATGGACTAATTTAAGATAAAAGAACAGTTAGCAAGAAGCCTGCCACGGCCATACAGTTTATAAGTGAAAAAAAAAAAAAAAAAGAAAATGATCTTTCAGATTATAAATACACCCCTCAATTCCTCATTTCCTTACCCAACAAATGTAATGCTTAGAAAAACTTTCTCATGTTGAACCCGCACACTCATCTATCCAAATGGGTGCCATCAAATTTTATTTCAGAATTATGCTAATATCATATAGCAAGCGTTGATTGAAGTAGGAACTATGAGAGGTGTATAAAGTTTTAATAACCTTATCATGATCCTCATTAATGTTATTCATCCTTATCCGTTCCATTCATAGTATCCATTGGTTTGCACCATGATTTAATTAGGGGGTGATTCTACTACAGTTGACAAGACAGGCAGACAAATGTTATATGAAATGAACACATTTTCAAAGAGTGGTCAAGGGCTGGAGAGAAGGCCTAACTGTTAAAGGCTAGGCTCACTGTCCAAGCTCTGTTCGGGGCTGTCCTGTTCTCTGAGTCTTCTCTTGCCCTTCTCTCTTCTCTTGCCCTTGCTTCTGGAATTCAGAATTCTTCATTTAGATCTCCCTTTAGCCACCTCGCTGTTTGTCAATGATGACTGTCTCTTTGTCTTATTCACTCTGGGTTGTAAATATTGCTATAAGCCAAGAATGGGCTTTGTTTATTAGTGTTTCTCCTTTCCCGACATAGTTTTCAGCATACAACAGTAGATAATTGGTTGTATTTGTGCCCGTCAGAGAGCATCAACTGAATACATAGTAATTGTGACTGTGCTTTATAGACTTGACAGCTTTAAAAATTCAAAGATGAGGCAAATGGGTGGAGACCTGAGAATTGTTGTTTGTTGAGAAAGACTTAGTGAACGCTGGCCTTTCTTAGGAGTATGGGCCATAGAATGCAAAGAGTTCATGGGAGATGCTGAGTGGGGGTGGGGGATGCATACCTATAGGCCAGTCCTAGGGAGGCAAAGGCAGGCCGATCTCTTTGAGTTTGAGGCCAGGATGCCCCACATAGCAAGTTCCAGGCAGCCAGAGCTATGTAGTAAAACCTTGTCTAAAAAAAGAAAACAAGTTTGTGAAATAAGATGATTTCAGTTTTCAAGCTGGGCATGCAAACTAATGACCATAGTGATATCTGTTTATATACCTCATTATTTGACCTATTTTTATGTACAGTTCACCTGTTTATCACTACTATATTCATGTAACCATTGTTGGTATGACTCGGTTTTTATACTACCAAAATATACAAAACTAGCTTGTGAAGTCTATCACAATTTTCTGTGTTTCTCATGTGAATTCTTTTAAGATGTAAATTATAAAAAGAAATTATTGGGACTGGAGATATGGTTCTGCTCACCAAGTTAAGTCTCAGTCCAGCTAGGCGTGATGGGGTGGATAGACTTGAAGTGAAACTGTCTTATGAGAAACCAAAGCCTGGACCTTGAGACTTGGTATAACAGTGAGAAGAATGGAAAGCATGAACTCCAATGGAAAGGAAGTTAAGCCAATTACCCTTAAGAGTGAACTTCATCAGGAGAGAGAGAGACTTCTCCCTAAAGGCACGAGCAAGGTTTCAAGAGCTTCATCACAAGAGATAGCTTAAAGTAAAAGAGGAAGCGAGAGATCCACCATAGACAACATGATGTGGTGGGGGGCGTGCATCTGAAGGGAAAGGCTGTTATTTATTAAGCGGTGCAATGTTATTCATTAAGCGGCACTGTTTACTGTGCAAGAAAAGCCACAAGGTACAACAAAACCCACTATAAGAGTTTATTAAGGGAAGGGAACAGAAGGGGGTGCTTAGGCTTATGGAAAGATCGTGCAGAAAGAGTGGGGAGGCATAAATGGAACCCAATTTTTTATAGGTTCCCCTGCACATGCGCATATGGGCTACACCACGCATGCCCATAGATTACATGCGCATGCTGCTCGCAAATTGCGTGATCACACAGCGCATGGATTACGTAGGACTTAAGGCCCTGGGATGACTAAGCATCTTGCCAACACATGCACAGTCATGGGGAGTAGCTAGGAATTCTAACAAAGGAGGCTTCCAAAGAAAGCCCCTAAACAAAAGGGAGAACTTTTGCTGAGATCGTGGATAGTTCAATGCTAAGTGACATCATCTATAGGACTCGGCAGATATGGAGCCAGTTCTGGAAGGGACAATAAAGCTTATCTTGTAGCTGCTAGAGGGAGGGGCTATAGGGCCACAGCTCCACATGGTTTCTTTACTTTCTGTCCTGGAGAGCAAGCTTTGGGGAGGTCCAGTTGGGCTTATGGGCTTGGGGTGCAGCTACAGAGTTTGTGTTCTAACAAGACTGAGATTCAGAAATCATCAGCCAATTCAGGAGTCATATAAGGGTGCCGATTATCCAGGAACAGGGATATAAACAGAAAAAAGCTAGAAGCCGGAGCACAGGTGAGCAGAACTGTGTGGGAAGGTATGGAAATCAATGAAGGGGCATTTCCTGTCTATGTAGGTGAGGCAGGGGCTCCAGAGAGGTGAGAAGAGGGGACGCCAGTGGTAAGGTAGTTTAGGAGAAAAAAAATATGTAATGAGGGTAACAATTTGAGAAATTTGCCAGCTGGGGGTTTCTCAGAATAGCCAAGGGCCCTGCGGCTGAAGCAAAATAGGCTTGGTGTTCATGGCCAAGTTTTCTGTATGGCCTGCCCTTGGCCAGAGTCCACCCATCCAGGGAACACCTCTCCCTGCCCCTCCAGGTTTCCCTTTGAGGTAATACCCAGGTCAGTCATTTGAGCCTTTAATCACCCTGCTAGCAAGAGGTATTTTTATGGGACAGTCATGAATATTTTACAAAGTATGAATATGAATGAGAAACACCTTTACTATGCCAGAGAAATAAAGTTTATTGGGAAGTAAATGAAGCTGCCTCCTTGCATTCCAGAGAATACCAGAGAAGAAAAGAAGGCAGGAAATGGAAGCCTGTACAGGAAACGCCCTCTCTGGTAATCCCCAGAGCCCAGATTGCAGAGATCTGACACCTTCAGAAGCAAAGAGACTTGACCTTCAGTGTCAAGAAGTTGATGATGACTGTCTTTGCTCATTGGTTCTGGAAAGCATGTCAGTTTCTAGCAATTGCAGTTGTCATGGTGACGTTTCTTAATGGCAACCAAAGTCCTAGCAAAGGAGAGACTGAAGACTGTTCCTGGCTTTTAACTAAACGGCTTCATTGATGTCTTCAAAGGGGATCCAAGGAGCTCAGTTAACAGCAACGCTTTTGAGAGCTGCCACAAGGTCCACAGCAGCTGCCGCTAGCGTTGGTGGTGGCGCATGGGTTGCATGGGAGGCTGGGGAGACACAGAAGGGAACAATGGATTGGACAGGAGAAGTCAGAAAACCCTAAGTCACACACAGTATCTGGTACTCACAGCAATTACCTGTGAATTATCAGTGGTTGGAATTAGAATGGAATTGCAACTGGTATCAAGCCCTTCTCCCTTAACCACAATACCCTGGGCAGCACTGGAAACTTGTGCTTTTAAAATTGTCTCACACTCTTGTGCTCTCCAGGAACTTAACATGTAAGGCTGTGACTGTCAATCTCCCTACCCACTCCTCTGCTCGTTATTGATGACTTTCAGATGCAGGAGCTATTTCCTGCGCCTTTGCTCACCCCCGTTTACTTGGCTTGTGCAAATCACTATGCCACTGTAGGCATTCAGTGCACTATTGTAGTTTGAAACATGGTCACCGTGAGTGTTTCTTCTGTCTAATACATCCACCACACATACAATCCCAGAAATTCATTCTGTACTCACTTGCAGTCCTCGTTCTCCAGCAGGCTCCTGTATGTGTTGATCTCACACTCCAGCCTGGACCGGATGTCCAGCAGCACCTGGTACTCCTGGTTCTGACGCTCCAGGTCAGCCCGGATCTCACCAAGCTGGGACTCCACGTTGGTGATCAGACACTGCACCTGGGACAGCTGGGAGCTGTAGCGAGCCTCACTCTCTGTCAGTGTATTTTCCAGAGAGTTTCTCTGTGGGGGAGAAGACAAAGGCTGTCACAGAGCTGTCCCCTCTAAAGGCTCCTGCATGGCCTCCCAAAGGAGTCACAGGCTTCAAGAGCTAAGGAGAGGGAGTGACCCCAAGGGCACCCCAGTGACTCTGCCTCCTGACTCCACACTGCCCAACAGCAGGTGTGGACACTACTCACCAGGTTGTGCTGGGCCTGCAGCTCGATCTCCAGGGCATTGACTGTGCGTCTCAGCTCGATGATCTCTGCCTGGCAGGACTGCAGCTGCTCTGAGCTGGACACCACCTGCTTGTTCAGCTCCTCGGTCTGTAACAGGCAAGGGCAGAGACAGGATCAGAGCCTGCTTAGGGTCCTGGGGGACCCAGTCCCTGGGTGACCGTGAGCTCAGGTGCCCACCTGTGTGGTGAACCATTCCTCCACTTCTCTGCGGTTGGTTTCCACCAGGGCCTCGTACTGACACCTGGTCTCATTGAGCACACGGTTCAGGTCCACAGTGGGAGCGGCGTCCACCTCCACGTTGAGGCGGTCTCCAAGCTGGCAGCGCAGGGTGTTGACTTCCTGGTGGGGGAAGGAGAAAGAATGACCCTATGAACCCAGAGCTTCTCTCTTCCTGCGGTAGGAAAGTGAGTATAACACTGCCTACACAGGGATGGGGCGCTAAAACAACATCCTCATCATTCCAAAGATACAGACATCACAACAAAGCTCTATCAGGAACCACATGATTGTCTTTCTCAGACAAAAACTGAAGCACCTTCCCAACCTTCTGAGTCCTTGGCACACACAAACCCTCCTGTCTCCCACCACACTCCTTTAGGTACTACATGCTTAGCCATACTTCACCATGCCTTGCCTAAGCATTTCTTTGCTATACCCTCAAATGACCTCCCCTTTCCCCTGAGAAGTACTCCCCAGCTCCTCTCCGTAAGACTGGCTTCCTCCTACTATGCGCACACCACACAGCACTTATTTCACTCAGCCTTGCATGATGTCACTAGGGCTCCCTAGCTGTCCCTCCATACTAGACTGGGAGTTCTTAAAGAGAGGAGCCATGGGTTGTTTTATTCTTTTACCCTCCACCTCCACTGTCAATCCCGGGACCCAACAGTAGCAACCAGCAGAGATCAGAGTTCAGTGGGTGGACATCCATACTCACTGCCCACCAGCCAGTGTGCTTGAGCATCAGCAGCTCACTGGACTCCTTGATAAAGATGCAGCGCCATCCCCACCCTCCTAGGATCTTAGCTGGAAGTCCTCAGGGAATGGTCCTACATCAGGAAGCCTGACGGCTAGCTAGGACCTCCTGATTCCAGGGACCCTCTCTTAATACTAATGGCTTCACCCCCACAGCTCTGAAACCTGCTTTTTAAATACGTCTCCTTACCTCCTCATGATTCTTCTTGAGACACAGCAGCTCCTCCCTCAGAGACTCCACCTGAGCCTCCAGGTCAGACTTGCAGAGGGTCAGCTCGTCCAGGACCCTGCGCAGACTGTTGATGTCCGACTCCACCAGCTGCCGCAGGGACTGCTCAGTCTGGTACCTGCACACACAGAGCGGGAGGATCAGCCAGCGTCTTGTTAGGATGGGACTGGACCAAGAACTCCATGAACGTCTACAGTTGTCTGCCTTTCTTGCTCTGTTTCCATCTTGCTATATGTAGATCAGCTGGGTGAGGTCTTGACTCAACTGAACATCACAAGGGGCCCAAAGACACCCATAAGGTGGAGTCCTCACCCTGTTCTTGGTGTTTATTGGTTGATTTAAAACCAAACGGATCCATTCCCATCTCCGGATTTGGGGGTTTTATAAGAACTCTCTCGAAACACTGATATAGGTTGAACATCACTGCCTAGAAAATCCAAAACCTGAAATGCTTAGCAGTCTGAAAGTCTTTGAGGGACACAACACCACAGTGAAAACTGCCCCACCTGACTCCATTGAAAGAGCAGAATCAAAATGGAGGTGCACTAAAAGTAGTGAATAAAATGGCACTCTGCTGTGTTTGAAGGGCATAAACACCTAACAAATGAGTTTTGTGTTTATATGTTTATATTCAGGCCCTGTCCCCAAGACAACTCACCATGAATGTTCAACTATCCCACAACTCAGAAGGAAAGCCAAAACCCAAAAAACACTTCTGGTCCCAAGCACTTCTGATAAAGGACAGTCAACCCATATCAACTGAAGGGCTCAAGTTTGGATGCCTGGTTGAAGCTTATTTTTTATAGCCAGACTTAGAAGGAGACATGAAAAGGGAAGGAATGTCTTCCTCATCCCTTCCACCTGCCCTTCCCAGCAACATTAGACCCACAGAGCCTTGAACAAGCCATGAGAGAGCTATCAGGGTTTGGAAGTCACCCAACTCAAAAGGTTCAACATACTTGGTCCGGAAGTCATCAGAGGCCAGCTTGGCATTGTCGATCTGCACGGCCAGCCTGGAGTTCTCAGACTTAGCACACAGAATCTGAAACAACGGTTCCAATGTGAGATCCACTTGAACTTGAGTATGTCTCCCCATCCTAAGAAAGGCAGCTGCTCCCAGACTCTTAGACAAGTCACCCTCTCACCTTCTGCTGCAGCTCCTCAATGGTCTTGAAGTAGGCCTGGTAGGCAGGGCACACCAGAGGGTCCTGTTGCTGGTTCCTCTCCTGGATCCGACACTCCAGCTCTGCATTCTCTCTCTCCAGCTGCCTCACCTTCTCCAGGTAGCTGGCCAGGCGGTCATTCAGGAACTGCATGGTCTCCTTCTCATTGCCATTGAAGGAGCCCTCACAGAACCAATTGCAGTTGCCCACATTGGCAGGGATGTTGCAGGCCCCAGGCAGGGTGCAGCCATGGCAGCTGTTGGGCACGCAGGGCCGGGAGGAGCAGCTGGTGCGGCAGCTCAGGGCAGGCAGGCAAGATTCACAGGACATGGTGTTGGGAGAGGTGATAGGAGAGTGGTGACCTGCTGGAGGTAGATGTGGGTGAGGTTTGAGTCTCTCCGTCATTCATGGGCCTTTTATACCCTTAATAGTGGGTGGGGGCTTGAAAAATAGCCTAATTTCCTTTCCTAATGCTTCAGCTAATTTTTCTTCAAATTATGCTACTTAGATTGCTTCCAAAGAGTCCCCCCTCATCCTATAAAATTATTCCATTCAGCTTGTGTCACAGCAGCCTCTTCCTGGGTACAAGTGGTTGATGAAATCAGAGTTTCATCAGATGGCTTCAAAGGAGGCAGATTCATCACAGTCCTGAAAGGTTCACCCCATTACTCAGAGGGAAGGATAGCCAGGGACGTGAGGTGGGGTTGTTTGGGAATCAGGGATTCCTTTCCTGGGAGGTTTCTGCTGATATAACGACAGCAAAAGTATTTTGGGTAAACATCCTTCCCATTGGCCTGTCCTCTAGACACATTTCAGCATTCAGGGGAATCATCCTTATGAAGAAACTCAGGCTGGACTAGCTGCAAGGAAGCTGATACTTGGATACTGACTGCACCTTGAGAAATGTGCAGATAGACAGACTAGAAACAAGTGTGTGATGGTGCTTGGGAAATGAGAATGTGAAATGAAAGATGGATGGATGGATGGATGGATGGATGGATGGATGGATGGATGGATGGATGGATGGATGGATGGGACAAGCAGTCAGATGGATGGGGATTGTTCTAAAAGGAGATTTGGCCAACTATAGGCCACAGTCTGTATAGAGTGTGGAGCTGTGCTCTTGGTGGATAGTGGAACCTTTAAGGGATGGAGCCATTGGTGGGGGTGCGTGGGAGTGAAGGAAAGAGAGAGAGAGAGAGAGAGAGAGAGAGAGAGAGAGAGAGAGAGAGAGAGAGAGAGAGAGAGAGAGCGCTATACTTTTCTATCCTTAAAAAGCTAAGTCATGTGTTGGGTCAATAATAATCAAAATTATTAATAATCCTAATAGAATTTCCCTTTTGACAGTGTTTCCATGAACACCACTTTCCTTGCTTTTCTTGACAAATGTGTAAAGTAGTTGGAGATGAGCTGTTTATCCCTTCATTACCTCTGGGGAAACCAAAATTCAGGAAATTTACAAGAACATCAAGCTGATGGTTCTGACCAGCGTCCAGGTACCGGTGAGTGGGCTTCATCAGAGCCAGGGGAAACGTCTCACCTGTTGAGAGTCTACAAGTCCCCTGGGGCCAAGCTGACTTCTGCCTCTTGAGCTGATTATATCAGTCTGTTTGGGAGGAGAAAGCCCTCCCAAAAGCTTTTAAATGTGCTCCCCCAAGTTTTTCAAAGCACCCCCAAGACTAAGAACTGATGTTTTGCCATGTGTCTATTGATGACCATGGAACACCAGGAAACCATTTTTAAAAGCCATTTGGAAGGTTTTGGGGAACTGTAGAGCACATTTATTTACAATATTAAGATGTGTCTGAAAAACATATCATGACTCATGGATCCTATATGTTTTGTTCATAACCATAGTACCCCTCCACTGCAGACATTATTTCTACTTAAATCATGGGCACAGCTCCCTGTCTGGGGGAGGGCTGCATTTCTTTAATACTCAGTTTGTGAACAACAAACCTGTTTGCTTGAGGATCAGCTTGACTCTTGTGAAGCCATTCAAAGAGAAGCTGGGAGTAGGGTAGACAAGTTAGATAATCAAAAGCAAACAAACTGTATAATTATATCAATTATGAGCCATTATTGTCTTTAGAGGGGCCTGACAAAAAATTAGTTTGGAATGTACCTGTGTGAGAAGCTTGTGCATAGGGGACAGCTTTGAAGAATGTCATTGGCCTGGATGTAGACATTCCATTCTTCGTATTGTATGGTAGAGTCTTGTGTGGAACCTGGTTCTAATAACTAAATGTGAATTTAAGCAAGTTTCCAAGCCTCAGTGTCCTCATTTGTAAAATGGGTTTAATTCTAACACTGTTATAAATATTCATTGCGATAACATCCTACTATGGTGAACACTCTATAGGTATGGGCTATATTGGTTTCTTGTTGCTGCTGTCATGAATTCCCACAAAGTTAAAGACTTTAAAAGAACTCAAAATTATTCCTTAAAATCCTGTAAGTTAGAAGTCCAAAATTGGTCTCAAATCAGGGTTTTTTGCTTTGCTAAAATCAAGAGATCAGGAAGCATTTCCACATACCAACCATGGAAAATCCCAAAAGGGGACTGGTGAGAAGACTCAGTGGGTAAAGACACACAATGCCAAACCTAACACCATGAGTTCAATCCCAGGGACTCCCACAGTGGAAGGAGAGAATCGACGCCTGTAGATTGTCCTCTGACTTCTGCATACATGCTTGGCACGGGACCACTCTCTTACACACACATACAAAAATATGTAAATACATTTAATTTTTTAAGATTTCTTAGAGGACCAGAGTCTCAAGCATCAGAACTAGAACTATAAAACCTGTAGATGAAAATCTCTGTGAATCTGGATTTGACACCAAAAGCTCAGGCAACCAAAAGAAAAACTGAATAAACTTCCACCAAAATAAAACTCCTGTGCATCAGAAACTCAATCAAGGGGCTGAAGAGAAGCCTCAGCAGTTAAGAGTGCTAACTGCTCTTACAGGAGACCCAGGTTCAGTCCCCAGTACCCACATGGCAGCTCAGAGCCCTCTGTAATTCCAGTTCCAAGGAATCCAATGCCTTCTTCTGGCCTCTATGGGCAGGGCACACACACACACACACACACACACACACACACACACACACACACATGATACACTTACATAAATGCAGGCAACACTCTCACACATAAAATAAGTTAAATTTAAAAAATAAATAAAGAACTAAGTCAAGAAAAGATACATGGGTCTAGAAATATAACTTGGTGAGCCAGTACTTGCTTAAAGTGTCTAAGGCCCTGAGCTCAGGGTCCAAGCACCAGAAAGTGAGGTGAATAAACCAAGGAGTTCTCAAACTGGGGGAAAATGTCTGCAGACCATATATCTGGTGGGAAATAAGGTCCAGAATTTATGATAAACTCCTATAACCAAAAAGCAAAAGAAACCATCTTAAAAACAGATAAGAGACTTCAACTGACATTTCTCCAAAGAAGATACATAGATGACTATTTTTAAAAATGCCCAATGTCCTTAGTCATGAGGAACATGCAAATGGAAACCACAGTAAGGTACCACTTCACACCCATTCTGATGACTACGCTTGAAACAAACAGAAAATAGGAAGTGTTGGCAAGCGTCTGAGAAATTGGAACCTTGTGCTCTTCTGGTAAGAATTGTAAATGGTGCAGACACTGTGTCTTAGCTATGTCAGTTCACAAGACTGTGGTTCAAAAGAGTAGGTTGATAACATCCTGAGGATCCTCTGGGGGTTTTTGATGTCAACGCTTATCATTTCTGTGGATTTTTCTTCCAGTTAAAGGAAGTTGCCCTTTCTTGATAAATACTGCTATTCTCGGCCTCCAGAGCTTGTCTCTTTCAATAGTTAGATATGTATTTCCAGCTCCAACTCAGCAGTTCAGATGCCAAGGTTCTGCGTCTTAGGGCGATAGCACTTGTTGGGTCTAACTTTATGCCTCTTAACAAATTGTGAGTGACTTGTGGTTGGGAGTTGCCCTTAAGTGTCTCTCCCTGCTGCACCACCTGGCATCTACGGAGTAGGAACTGGTTAGATTGACATAAGAAAAGATGTCCCATGGATGAACTGATAGATCTTCTCAGTCAATGACTGGAAGCCCAGGCAAGTCATGAAAACCCACATAAAAAAGAGGAAGACATCCTAAGTATGGCAGGGAAAGCCAGGGGAGTCCTTCACAGGGTACTCCTGAGGTTATGTGGGCCACAATTACCCAGCATCATAGAGCACCAGATCCAAGGACCTCACTGAGGAAAAAAGATGACTTTTCCAGAGCCTTTTTGCAATCCCTAGCTCATGGCTTCAATTTCAGACTTGGATATCAACAGCTCTGAGAGAATCCACGTCATGAGAGAAATATAGAAATGATGAAAGGGAGACAGTAGCCCAGCGTTGCAGCAGCCTCACCCTCCTTCCCGACAGCTGCTCTGCCTCACCCATTGGTCCAGGCGAGCCATCTGCCCATCGAGACTCAAGCCATTGTAAAGCCTGACTTTCAAGTGGCTTTTTTTATAGAGTCCTCAAGCGGTGAGTGGATGGTAACAAATGAACAGCAGTAAGAAGAGCATCTGCTTTGGACAGGAAAACGTTTATTGTGAGATTACAAGGGAGGGCCACCCGCACTTCAGAGTCCTCTGGGCAAGCCAAGGGAGAGTCAGGTCCTTCTGAAGGAAAAGGCAGACAGAGAATGGTCTGGAGAAGGGTGTGGTAGCTGAAGACACAGTTTCTGGGGCTGTCATCCCAGGGCTGGGCTGGCTACTCATTTTGTGTTTTGATGCCTGTTTTGTGGCACGAACCAGAACTGGGTCAGAGATCTGGAGCCCTAAGCCCTGTGTCCTGTCCCCTTGGGCATCGCCCAGGTCCTAGCGCACAAAGGAGTTGCATGGCCCACAGCGGGGGCGGGGGACACAAGGTGTGCACGGGGCAGGGGGTGGGCATGGCGTGCAAGGGTTGGAGACGCAGGGCCCGATGGGCTTGCCGCATGCGTTAGTTGTGGCACACGGATTGCAGGGTAGCCTAGAAACAAAAAATAGACAGAAAGGTGAGGTGAGGCAGATACATAACCACATAGTAGAGAGTCCCCAAGAGTAGAAGTCCTGTCGGGACTTGTCCTGGCCTGAGAACACTCAGTTCCCCTCTACTAGAAAAAAATCTTTAAATCGCTAAAACTCTATTACAGAGAGCTACAAGTACTACACAGACACCCCAAATCTATACACTCCTAGCTGTTGACCTTGAGAGGGTTACTGCCTTCTCCAAGCCCCAGCTTCCTTACAAGGAGAACTGGAAGAAGACGGCACCAACCTACCGGAGGGGTAATTGCACAATAAGATTAGATAGTGCCTATCTTAAGCTGTCTATACAATGAAGTATTGTGAAAAGACAGCTCACATGACCCTACAAGTTATCGCAGTAGAGGACAAAGACGGCTGTGCAATCTCAGTTCGTACACAAACTACTGTGCTAAGAAACCACTTGATGTTTTCGATGACGGCCACAGTGCTTGGTGAGTTCTGTTCCAGCATGTCAGGTGGGAAGGCGTGATTTTTTTTTCCCCAAGGTAGACAATCTCCAAGGGCTCCGACTGAGTCCTGTACTCCCTCATGAGCTCTTATCAAAGCCTTCCTTCTGTGCACTCACTTGCAGTCCTCGCTCTCCAGCAGACCCCGGTACGTGTTGATCTCACACTCCAGCCGGGCCCGGATGTCCAGCAGCACCTGGTACTCCTGGTTCTGACGCTCCAGGTCAGCCCGGATCTCACCAAGCTGGGACTCCACGTTGGTGATCAGACACTGCACCTGGGACAGCTGGGAGCTGTAGCGAGCCTCACTCTCTGTCAGTGTGTTTTCCAGAGAGTTTCTCTGTGGGGGAGAAGGCAAAGGCTGTCACAGAGCTGTCCCCTCTAAAGGCTCCTGCATGGCCTCCCAAAGGAGTCACAGGCTTCAAGAGCTAAGGAGAGGGAATGGCCCCAAGGGCACCCCAGTGACTCTGCCTCCTGACTCCACACTGCCCAGCAGCAGGTGTGGACACTACTCACCAGGTTGTGCTGGGCCTGCAGCTCGATCTCCAGGGCGTTGACTGTGCGTCTCAGCTC